TGCTCGCTTCAGTGCCTGGCTGCCGGCCGCCATCTTGGCTGACAGTTAATTTGCATATACTCACTGATTAGCCAATGAAAAGGGTAGCGGTCGTACGCTAATTACCATGTTTCTCTTTTATTAGTGTAGATATATATATAGATTTATTTTTAGAGAGAGAAGAAAGGAGAGGGGAGAGAGATAAACATTGATGTGAGAGTGAAACATCAATTGGCTGCCTCCTGCATGCCCCCTACCAGGGATCAACTGCAACCTGGACATGTACTCTGACTGGGAATCAAACTGGCAACTTTTCAGTGTATGGGATGATGCCCAACCAACTGAGCCACACTGGCCAGGGTTGTTGGAACCTTATTTTAATTTGAGCAAAGAGGACATCTGCCTATTGCTATGCACTTATAACAGCACAGGAATAACTGCTTTAATGGGACTTGGCGAGGACACTGAGAATTCCCACAGGTCCTTTCTTTGGGCTCCCTCAGCTTTCTGCTTGTACCATTGAACACAGCAGGCTCTATCTTGTCTTATTGAAATATAAATGTTTTAGACACTAGCTGTGATCATGTCTCATTTATTTCAGAATCTCTTAGTGCTTGTCATAGTGATAGGAACCTAAGATGGAAGCATTTGATCAAAGGTTTTAAAATGGGACTTAACTGCCTCCTGTCATGACCATATTTGTCCTGCAGAAACTTCACAGACCAGCTGCGGAAAATTTCCAAGGATGCAGGGATGCCCATCCAGGGCCAGCCTTGCTTCTGCAAATATGCGCAGGGGGCAGACAGCGTGGAGCCCATGTTCCGGCATCTCAAGAACACGTACTCTGGACTACAGCTCATTATTGTCATCCTGCCAGGGAAGACGCCAGTGTATGGTACAGTTCTCTTGGAACCATGATAACGATGATAGCCCTCTTCTCATGATAGTTCCCTGGAAGCTCCAAGGCAGGATTCAGTGTGGATTCTTGGCTCTAGCCAGAGCTGAGCTGTTCCTTAATGTCACTGCTCCCCTTACAGGAGAAATACCAGCTTGTATGAGCCATTGAGTCATCCCAGGTCCTGCTTACCTGCTCACACTCCTTTCCGGTAACATTTATTGGAGTCCTCTGTGTGTTGGTCTTTTTTTTTTTTTTAATATATTTTATTGATTTTTTACAGAGAGGAAGGGAGAGAGATAGATAGTTAGAAACATCGATGGGAGAGAAACATCGATCAGCTGCCTCCTGCACATCTCCCACTGGGGATGTGCCCGCAACCCAGGTACATGCCCTTGACCGGAATCGAACCTGGGACCTTTCAGTCCGCAGGCCGACGCTCTATCCACTGAGCCAAACCGGTTTCGGCTGTGTGTTGGTCTTTATGCCAGGCTAGCTGGGCCAGATACAGAGATGGGTGGGTCCAGATTCCTGTTCTTAGAAGAGTATTGTCTGTTAGGATATAGTGCAGCACACCCAAGCAGAATGGGTGGTGGTTCTATTATTGCCTGGGAATTACTTGAACTTTTGGAGAAGCTTTTTCTTTCTCCCTTTCTTCTCTTTTAAGAATAGGAATGATTATATACATCTTTGGCTCAGTACTTTTACTCCATTTTTTCTGTCTACTTCTTCTGCTTCAAATGAAGAGGTATCTCTCTTCTTACCTTACTCAACTTGTGTGTGCTTTTGTTTCTATGCCATTCTGCTACCTCTGGGACCTCATACCCTTTAAGCCTCCAACATCTTCAGATTTCCCATCGTAGAGCACTTTACCACAATCCACTATTTCATTTATCTTTTGTCATCCTATTTTCATAATCAAACTTTTTGTTGTTGTTAATCCTCACCTGGGGCTACTTTTTCCATTGATTTTTTTTTTTTTGAGAGAGAGTGGTAGGGAGGGAGGAGGAGGAGGAGGAGGGGAGAGAGAGAGAGAGAGAGAGAGAGAGAGAGAGAGAGAGAGAGAGAGAGAAAGAGAAATATCAATGTGAGAGAGGCACATTGGTTGGTTGCCTCTCACACACAACCCAACTAGGGCTTGGGATTGAACCTGCAACATAGGTTCGTGCCCTTGACTGGGAATCACACCTGTGGCTTTTTGGTGCATGGGTGGACATTCTATATCACTGAGCCACACTGGTGAAGGCTTAATCATACTTTTGAATGAGTACACCTAATTCTTCACCAGCCATTTATACTTTGCCTCTTTCATCTGTTTTACTTCTACCTTTCTCTTAAACCTTCTCTGCAAAGGGTCACCTGTAATCTTTCTCAGTTCTTTTTTTTTTTTTTTCCTAGATATTTTCTCCTGTCTCTTCTTATTTTTGTCATTACCAGGAGTGCCTGGTTATTCTCCAGATTTTTGTACTCTACCTTCCCTTTCTGTTTACGTTCTAGTGAAATTCTCATGCATTCAGTTGCTTCAGTCATCACTTATTATGTTACTAGGGGCCCAGTGCACGAATTTGTGCACCTTGAAAGGAACTGTGGGCCACAAGGCTGGAGTGGGCACAGGGATGGGTCTCAGCCCATCCTCCGTGCCCCCGCCCAGCCCTTCCCACCTCGACCCCTGGTCCCCTGTCTGCCGGGAGCCCCGCTCCTGCTGCCACTGCTCCCATGCGCTGACTGCGCCAGCCCCGCTTGCACCCGCTGACGGCGCAGAGTGATTAGGGCCGGCACCAGCAGTGGGTGCGAGCGTGGCTGGCGCCATCAGCCAGTGCAAGTAGCAGCTGCTGCCCCGATCGCTCCTCAGGAACCGGGGGTGGGAGGGGGGGTGGAGGAGAGGTCCTTGGGAATGATTGGGGCTGGCAGCCGCCGCTCGCATCCACTGATGGTGCTGAGCGATCAGGGCTGGCAGCGGGTGCGAGTGGCGGCTACTGGCCTGGATCACCCCTCAGGAGCAGGGGGGGGGGGAGAAGTCCTGAAGAGCAATCAGGGCTGGCAGCCACTGCTCTTACCCGCTGATGGCGTTGAGTGATCAGGGCCAGTGCCAGGTGCTGGCAGCAAGTGCGAGTGGTGGCTTCGGCGCCAGCAGCAGGTGGAAGCACCAGGCAGGACCTTGGTGCGTGGGAGCAAAGAATTTTCAGTTACCACCAGAGACTTACCCCGATGACAGTGACTGGCACTCCGCCTTGGTCTGGCGCCCCTGCTCACCTGCTCCACCATCCCGCCGTGGCCGATGCCCGCCATGTTCCATGCGCACCCCCTGTTGGTCAGCACACGTCATAGCGACCAGTTCGGTTGTTCCGCCGTTAGGTCTATTTGCATATTAGGGTTTTATATATAGAGATAATGTATTATTAAAATCTTGATCCAACTCTTGATCTCTCTGCCTCTCCCATCTGTCCCTTTGACTCTCTCCATTATTTTATCAAGATTTTATTTATGACTTACTGTGTGAAACATTCCTAGATCCTGAACACTTGGCAATGAAAGGAAATGCAGTCTCTGCCTGTACAAAATGTTTTGGTGGACCATCTCTTTAGTAGCTTGTCTTCTCTGTCTACAAGTAAGCCTTTTTCTTTACCTTTCTCTTCTGTGTTTGGCATCACAATTGCTCTGGATACCTTCATCCAGACTTTGGAGGCAGCCTGTCTTCTCCTTGCTTCAGCTCCACTTGTTCTTTTTCACAGTTTTAAGATATATTTCCTGCTCTCCACCCATACTTTTCAACTTAGTTCTAACATTTCTTCTTAAATCTTTCCAGATTATGTTATTGGATGAGACATTTTGTAGCCGTACTCCCCCAAAAATTTCATTGGTCCCCATTCACAAAATAAAAGATTTTCAGAGCCCTGATCTTAGTTTAACCTTTTCAGCTTTATCTTGTACTTTTCCCATTGCCACATATACAGGAAAGACCACATGTCCTGGAATTAGATAGAACTAGATTTTAATACTGGCTATCCCAGTTTACTGGCTTAAGCAAATTAACTAACCTTTCTGAGTCTCATGAATTAATTATATAAAAAGCAGCCTCTAACACAATGCCTGCCACATAGTGGGTCAAAAATGTCAAACTCGAGGCCCACAACAAATATTTTTGTGGCCCAGCCAATATAATCGTATGTAAGAAATATTTTAATAAAAATTTCATAACTTAATTTTTACAATATCCTCTTATAAATAATTAATAATGAACTACAATGTTCGCTAATGACTAATTACTATAATCGTGTTGCATTCATTTTCCTTACTCGCCTTACCCAGTGGTTCTCAACCTTCTGGCCCTTTAAATACAGTTCCTCATGTTGTGACCCAACCATAAAATTATTTTCGTTGCTACTTCATAACTGTAATGTTGCTACTGTTATGAATCATAATGTAAATATCTGATATGCAGGATGGTCTTAGGCGACCCCTGTGAAAGGGTCGTTCAACCACCAAAGGGGTCGTGACCCACAGGTTGAGAACCATTGCCTTACACGCAGGCGCACCATTTCTCTCCACTAATACTACTAGTGAATATTTTAGCAGCCGATTGCCACGTCATCAGTTTTGGACTGACTTGTTTGGTGTGTGCAACAGGAAATATTTCACTTTTGGAGAACAAGAAAAATAGGTTTATTTGTGTTACGCTTATTAATTTGTGCAGTTATTCAGTGTCTGGTAAGTTAATGTTCAAGAAAAAATATTAATTTTCATTAAAATGTTCTATTATACTATGTTAACGATTACTCATTTACTTCAGCCCTTTGTATTCAGCATGTCTATCGAAATAAACCTATGTTTCAATGAAAATTGAAACTTTTGTTTTTTTGCGGCCACATAAACTTAAACCTTGTTTATTTGGCCCGTGTTAGCCTTTGAGCTTGACATGCTTGTAGTAGATATTCTAAATGCGCATTCCTTGTCTGCACTTTCCAATATCTGGTTTTGCTCACATCATTTGCCTCTGCCTAAAATATCTACTTTTTATCCTCCACCTTACCCTTAAAATTCTCTCCATCTTTCAAGTCCCAGTTTAAATGTACTTAATTCTCAAAGCCTTTTCTTGTCATCCCACCTGGCAGATGATCAGGTTGCTGATCAATTACTACTGTGCTTGATATTATTTTGAGTATGGATTAGGTCTGATTCTGCTTTGAAACCTTCCCTCTGAATATGTACACCTAAGGTAGAGCCTTCCACTAACATAATACCCAGCAATTATTGTGGAGGGAAGTTGGTTGACCTCCGATCCATGTCCCTTTTGGGCCTTATATTGGTGATCCTTGGGTAGAAAATAAAGATACTTTTTAGGAGAACTGCCTGAGTAGTTATCCATGTTTCTGGTTCCCTCCATAAAGGGAGAATCCAATGGCTTGTCTGGGGTGTATATAGTGCAGCATGATCGCGAAAGCAGTGCTTAGAGAATTTTCCCTTCTCTGGGGTCAGTAATGTTATACCTCTCTACAGTCTTATACCTTTATTAGGGCTTTGGGTTTCTTCCACTTAAATGCTGTTCCTTGATTACACCACTTAGTCAGTGGGGCTATCTGCCTAGGAATTCAGCCAGCAGATAAGAGGAGCAGACAGATTGTTCTAAAGACCCTTCACCTTCCTTCCTGGAGGCCAAGTGAATGGAATTCTTTCTGTGATGTTCAATGTAAGTCCATTTGCATTACCCTGAAAGTATAGACAGACTATGTGATATTTGTTCAATTTTGATCTACCATACTTTGTCCTACCCTTAGTATTTTTAACTCTTTTCTCCTCACTAAATTGATACTATTGTAATTTTTTAATGTAAACTTTTTATTGAAGTATAATATGCATATAGAAATCTTATTTTCACAAAGTGTTATAGCAATGTAAACAGTACCTAATTCGGTCTGGCAGCAGAGCATTACCACAATCCCAGGCACCCAGTCACTACAACTCCCCATCAATGCTAACCATTGTCGTTTTGGTTTCTAACACTTTATATTACTTTTGCCTGTCTTTGAGCTTTATATAAATGGAATCACTTTTATTTGTGTCAGGTTTTTTCACTCAACATGTTTGTGAGATTCATACATGTTTATTAAAATTTTCCATCATGAATATAACACAATCTATCTATATAAAAGCCCAGCGACCGAACAGTGGGACAACTGGTCGACCAGTCACTATGATGCGCACTGACCACCAGGGGGCAGATGTTCGATGCAGGAACTGTCCCCTGGTGGTCAGTGTGCTCCCACAATGGGAGCGCCGCTTGGCTAACCAGGATGAGTGGCTGCTCCTGGATGAGTGGCTGCTCCCGCAGTGAGCTGATCCCTGCAGGCCATGCCCCCACCAGTGCACGAATCCGTACACCGGGCCTCTAGTTTACATATATTTATCCAATATACTGTTAAATGGACATATTTGGGTTGTTTCTAGTTTTTACTATCCTATATAATAAAAGGGTAATATGCAAATTGACCCTAACAGCAGAACGTCTGGGAATGACTGGTCACTATGACACACACTGACCACCAGGCGGCAGACGCTCAATGCAGGAGCTGCCCCCTGGTGGTCAGTGCGCTCCCACAGGGGGAGCTCTGCTCAGCCA